TATATATATAGAGAGAGAGAGAGAGAGAGACTGTGTGTGTGTTCGACAGCTGCCAAATGTTTACGGAAAAAGAAATAGACAACAGACCAGACGACAGTGAGGATATACGATGGCGGTTTCCTTCCCTCGCTTCTGTAAGTAGGTGTATTTTTTTCTTATTTTTCACGCTTTGGTAACACACTGGAAAACATTAGGGAAAACACCTAGACGCATCACCGACTGTCTTTATCTATAAGTAATGAGTATACCACGGTTCCCAAACGGAGAGTCGAGATGACTCTACGGTAGCTAAGCTCTCAGTCAAATCCGTCATCACCTTCCGCCACGCCATCATCCGGCCACCTCCTTCCCTGCTTCAGCTTCTGGTGACAGAAAAGAAATAGAGAACGGTAGTCAAACAAGCGTAGATGGGCTGTCGGAATCTAGGGACCTCTTCGTTACTTACACGATGCTCTCGTAAAATAAACGCAACAGTGCGTAAACGGTTTTCAAAGAACACTAGCTTATGCGTGTCAGTGCGCGAAACGGCAAGTTTCACAAGCATGTAACAATCCTACTTGCACAGATGCGCTGTAAACGCGTTCCTCTAACGAGTTACAGTGACTGATCGAGAGAACTTGCACTGTTCCGGTGGCAACCAAAGGTTGTTTCTCTCAGTCAGTGGGCCCATTACATCGAAATCCATTCGAATTCAAGATGTTGAAATAATATTAATGGGTAGATCAACCGGGGCCTATTGAAGTTTGTTTGATTCTCTTCAGAATGGAGCAAGACGCTGCCAACTAGAAAAGAACCCGGCCCTCACAGTTGGACGTGGACTCTTGAGCCACCTTGTGACCTGTTTTGCGTCGGGGTCCACTCTCCGATCGTTTGGTTAATTGACTGATGGTGTAGCTTTCATTTTTACCCAGTCTCCATCCTGACTGATCCATTCACAGCGTCCGGTCTATCTTCACGGGCCTGATTGGCTGGCTTGCACGTCTGCTCTCTGTGGGGCTCTCATTATCTTGGCCCGGATTCGGTTACCCTGATGACGGCTGCGAATTCCGAATCAATTAACCTATCCTTTAAACCTGGCCACCATTTCATTCTAGTTCTGTCAATTTTTTGACTGCTTGTTCGGTGCAGGGTTTGGTGGTTCTGGACTTCCTTTGTCTTCAGGGGTTGACAGACGGATCGATTTGTTGGTTGGTTGACTATTTATTGTTCCATCATTGAAGCACTACGTCTCCACAGATTCGCGTCCTTTCTTTGCTCTTGCTTGCCTAATATGCTGACGTGGTTCCAGTTGAACTTGCTGGTTGTTGATCAGGTAGCTGTTGATCTGTTCGCCGAGCTTGGTAATTGGCTTGCAAACGTTTCGCCACCATACGAGGAGACATCTTCAGTGCACAGTTGAGTGGGCGTTCCACGCACAAAATAGTTGAACCTGTTTGCCTCAAAAGTGCAATCTAACTACGGTTCTATGGCCTTCCAAAGATCCATAAACCAGATGTCCTGGTGAGACCGATAGTAGACGGAATAGGTTCCCCACCGCATGAACTGGCCAGATTCTTGACCGGTATTTTAAAGTCCCTCACCGGGAAATGCAGTACTTACATTAAGAATTCGTATGACTTTGCGAACAAAGTAGCGGGGGTCACCCTTGAACCAGATGGCATCCTGGTAAGTTCCGACGTCAATTCGTCATACACGAATGTGGTAAAAGGGGACTCCTTAGAAATAGCTAAGCTGCTGCTACTAGCAGACACCACCCTTTCAGAACGGACACAGCTCACGGTGGATAAAACAGTGGAAGCATAAAAGCATGCCTGAATCTCACCCACTTCGTTTTCGACTCCGTGGTTTACACTCAAGAACAAGGTCTCGCAATGGGACCTACAATATCCCCGGTTTTGGCAAATATATTTATGGAAAAATCTGAATAGAAAGCTTTAGCCGGATTTCCACACCCATTCAAGATATTCTGGCGTTATAAGGACGGTACTTTCCTCGTGATGAAACAAGACAAGGTGAGTTTTACAACTATCTGAATGAACTAAGACCACATATCAAATTTGGTATGGCGATAGATTCAACAATGGCATTTTTAGACAGCATGACACAAGGTCGGGGGAAGACTAGAGACCACAGTGTACGAGGCCGAATGACACTGGGGCAGTTTTGAATTACTCGTCTGACCATCCAAAGTCGGTGTTCGCTAGTGTATTGGCCTATGAATGTTTAGGGGTGTAAGGACTCTGCGCACAGAAGTTGATCAGATAGCGACCCAATATGAAGTAAGCAAACTTCGGGGCAGTGCACACCCAGCTGGTTTAATTAGAAGATTGCGAAGGGTGTTGGTACTGGTACCGAAAACCAACAAGGAATGGATCAGGACAGCTGTTATTCCATATAAACCAGGGACATCAGAGATTATTTGAAGGATTCCACACACGGTTAACATAGAGGTAGCTTCCCAGAGGGAAAACACTGCTCTCTGCACTTGTGTGAATGAAGGATTGTCTCTCGGCGAATTGTCGTAAGAGTCACAGGGATCAACGAAATCTACGGGTGGCACCCGCAGTGAATCATCAATCGAAGTAGGAGATTACGCAACCTAACCCGATCGACCCCCATCCATCAATATTTTGGTAACCGCACTAACCGACAAGAACCGCTAATTGACACTAAGGACTAATCTAGTGCGCCAATATGAAGAGGTCTTAGTGATTGGTTCTCCGTCTGCCTTGAAATCTGACCAACTTGATGACCTGCTCAATTGGCCTGATAAAGCTTTTATGTCAAAAGCGAAATGTCGCCCAATTAAAAAAACGACCGATTATTTAACAAGCCCTTCTAAAACAATGATTTCTGAATCGGTTCCAAACTTTTTCCAACTGCTCAGTTTGAACCGTAATATCAGCTGTTTATCCGCAAAAGATCCCAATTATCAGGGTATTCAACGCTATTCAGCACAACGTCAATTAGAACCGTTGCATTTGCAAAACACGCTCAGCGACTACAGGAATGATACTAGCAGGTAAGTGAGTAAATCTGTAGAATGGATTGTCTCAGCAGGGCAGAAAGCTGATTTTCACACTATCCTGAGCTGAAGTGATACAATGGATGACCAACGCCAGAAGTTATCACACCAGACTCAGTAGAAATGTTTTATGCACAAGGCAGTTCTGTACAGGAATTACGAAAGAGTATTTATGAATTATCCAGCAGTTTATTCGTCGAATCGCATCTTTTTGCTGGTCTGTGAAGAGGACATATCAGTGGACTCTCTTTTTCCTCCAAATGAGTCTCTCCCGCCACGAAAGTCACCTTGAGCTCCGCGGCCACCACGGAAGTCGCCACCCCTTCCACCACGGAAATCACCACCCCTTCCACCACGGAAGTCGCCACCTCTTCCACCACGGGAGTCACCTCGACCACCACGTCCTCCGCGGAAATCACCAAAGCCACCACGGCCGCGATCTCCACCCCCACGTGCGCCTCCACGGAAACTCCCACGTCCACCTCCACGTTGTCCTCCACCTCCACCGCGAGAATCTCCACGACCACCCTGCCCACGCCCACCACGACCTAGTTCATGAAAACAAGGGAACCGAAAAAAAAGCAATTTCCGGCAAATGTGTAAAACGACAGACAGTTTGCGTAAAATCGGAAACAATGATCATACGATTGGGAGTTGGAAAGTGTGCCTTGGATGTAGACGCGGTTATTTGATGCTAAATACTGATCTGATGGTGTCTTAGTGATTGGTTCTCCGTCTGCCTTGAAATCTGACCAACTTGATGACCTGCTCAATTGGCCTGATAAAGCTTTTATGTCAAAAGCGAAATGTCGCCCAATTAAAAAAACGACCGATTATTTAACAAGCCCTTCTAAAACAATGATTTCTGAATCGGTTCCAAACTTTTTCCAACTGCTCAGTTTGAACCGTAATATCAGCTGTTTATCCGCAAAAGATCCCAATTATCAGGGTATTCGACGCTATTCAGCACAACGTCAATTAGAACCGTTGCATTTGCAAAACACGCTCAGCGACTACAGGAATGATACTAGCAGGTAAGTGAGTAAATCTGTAGAATGGATTGTCTCAGCAGGGCAGAAAGCTGATTTTCACACTATCCTGAGCTGAAGTGATACAATGGATGACCAACGCCAGAAGTTATCACACCAGACTCAGTAGAAATGTTTTATGCACAAGGCAGTTCTGTACAGGAATTACGAAAGAGTATTTATGAATTATCCAGCAGTTTATTCGTCGAATCGCATCTTTTTGCTGGTCTGTGAAGAGGACATATCAGTGGACTCTCTTTTTCCTCCAAATGAGTCTCTCCCGCCACGAAAGTCACCTTGAGCTCCGCGGCCACCACGGAAGTCGCCACCCCTTCCACCACGGAAATCACCACCCCTTCCACCACGGAAGTCGCCACCTCTTCCACCACGGGAGTCACCTCGACCACCACGTCCTCCGCGGAAATCACCAAAGCCACCACGGCCGCGATCTCCACCCCCACGTGCGCCTCCACGGAAACTCCCACGTCCACCTCCACGTTGTCCTCCACCTCCACCGCGAGAATCTCCACGACCACCCTGCCCACGCCCACCACGACCTAGTTCATGAAAACAAGGGAACCGAAAAAAAAGCAATTTCCGGCAAATGTGTAAAACGACAGACAGTTTGCGTAAAATCGGAAACAATGATCATACGATTGGGAGTTGGAAAGTGTGCCTTGGATGTAGACATTTTTTGAAACTACCCCAAAAAGGTTCAGGTGCTGCGCCCCGTGTGGAGGTTATCGAATATATCTTCAGCCGAACACTGTCGCTGTGAGTAGAACGAATGAGCCAGTCAATCAATATCGAATTGGATTTGGATTGTTGCTTGCATTACTCTAATTTTTGTTGGAACACCGAAACCCCCCCCCCAAAAGGAACACTTCCGCCTAGTTGTTCACTTCCCTGCCTCAAGGAAGCAGATTCCCCGGGCAAAAAAAGGGTAACGCTATGGGTTATACAGACGGTCTTTACTTCAGAATAGGGGACAACAAAGAAATGACCGATGTCATTGGTCCTAACTTATATAAGCACAATGAAAAAACGCGTCCCCACACAAACTGATATTTTTGGATTGGACTGTGGGTTAGTCTGGAACACCAAAGCGGAAGTGACAGTGGAACAACGGAGTGCATACCTCGGCGACCCGTCCACCTCCCCCTAGAGTGGTTAATGGATGGTAAATAATAATGACTCCCCAGCTGCAACCCCTTTCGGTGCCTAAGTGTCTGGTTGGAGACCACAATCAACCTCCCTTCTAGGCTCTGGCAACCTGGCAGTGGCTCGGTCCACACATATCCATGCAGAAAAGATATCCTCACACCACAACGGACGTCACGCGTTGACACCATTCGGATCACCACATCCAAAGCATACGGCCGGGGGTAAGCGAAAACGTGCGACTTCCGGCGCATTCTATCCGTCTATATTGTTATCTTCTAACTCACCTGTTCCGTTTGATAAGCACTCTTCTAAAGATCCCAACTGGAACCATATCATTTAGGCACCCATTCAGTCACACATGGCTCACACCGACCACGTGCCCACTGAGCAGGCCTACCAGTAGCGCCGTTCAGTCTTTCACTGCCGATCATTCTGGAATACACGGGAATCCAACAGTTCCTACATGTTTGTAAAACAAATCTACAAAAACTTAAGTAGAACCCATCATCGGTCAGCTTTTTGTAGTGTTCATCACCGCAGCTCCAAGCTGCTTACCTACAGTCGTAAGAGAACCAAAAAAATAGGATCCATATGGGTACCAGCAGTTCTGGTAGTTACCTTTCTACTTCAGTTATCGAAAAAGCGGGAAAAATTATGTAAGCGCCCATGTAAACACCAAGCAGCCACTTAGCTTTCCATTGCTGGTAACTGTTGCGTCGCCACTGAGTACGAGGGTGCAGAGTACGGATTATTCTGTTGTATTAACTGCTGTCCCCGCCCCAGTATCGGAAAAGCTCACCAACAAGGGAGACATCAGACAAGCGAGTACAAAAATTACAAGAGGTCTTGCGACATTGACCCAGACTATCTGCCTGACCACTTATCACCGTCGGCCGCACTCCTGTGGCGTGTCTGAAAGCTCGTCGGCCAATACCGAATTGATTGACTGCTTGAGCATTTGATCGGAAGCTGGGCTTCCTGGTCCGAATCCTCAACGGCTTTCTTAACTACCATTTTGGTGAGGTTTGAGTGTTTTGTTAGGTTTCGGACATTCCGAGGTTATTTTCAGAAACGTGACCATCCCGAAACATTCAAACTAGCGGTTTTACTAAACCTCTGTGCAATTGTTTACTAGAACATATTTTCTTGCGTCTACAGGACAAAACCTGAAAGTTTGTTTGGTGGTTCTACATCTTGTGGTCTGGTGGATGCTGAATTCTTCACCTCTGGTGTTGATCAACTTATCACCCGACTGCAGGCCAACTCCAACAAGGTCACGATGTCATCCTCCCGAGACTCCATTCAAAGACTACCAAAGCACCAACACATCCTTGAAGGACTCAAGCTCCACTCAAAAAATACATGGCTATTAAATACGGTCGGATCATCAAGCACTTATCTATGTGGATGCGTATTCTCTACCGCGGCATGAAGTGAATAACAGTCTAGACGTCAAAGTACCTACCACCAAATTTTGATAGGGAAAATAAAAATGAATAATCGTCAGGCCTGCGCTTATCTCATTCGGTCTGACCAATGCCTGTTCTCGACGCACAACAGATGAGAACATTGATGACAAACTTGTTCACATGAATGATAGTGTAGTTTAATGTTGAACCGAAACAGTGCGCAATCGTACGGAAAGTTACTGCACAACGCAGATTTATATTCAGGGCTATCAAATATCCAAAGGCATCAAGCCAGACAAGGGGAGAATGCGCGCTATCCGGTAACTGTTACCGACGCAAAGACACGCCAGCTAAAGTTGCGAATGTTCGCCTACCATTCCATCACTCTCTAACCAAAAGGGCTTGTTAGCTCTCTGAGATAATCGCTTTCTCCATATTCACCTAGTCGAGTGAAAAAGTTCGAGTAAATAGTCCAGCAAGTTGAGAGCATAGCTCCTTTTACTCCCATTCATCCTCCAAACGACCTTTCTCAGTGACTGCACGATTCCCGCAGTTTTCTAGCTAGATCAGCGTGATATCCCTACGCTGATGAACTGAAACGTTCTGCTTTGTCCTGCGTAATCCTGAGGGGAAGCAAACTGACCACCGATCCCCCCAATGGCATGGTCGGAATCACTTGGGGTACCTCAACCCACATGACCCAACAAATTCCATGACTGGCCTGCGATAGATGGCCTCAAAGTAACTCGATGTCAGTGCTTGGTCAGAAAGTGCGCATTGGTCAGGAACAGACAAGCTTTAGCACAAGTGATATCACTGACCATCTCTGTGGTGAGTTTCGATTCCGGTTCCACCTTAAATGTGCGTCTACCCGGCTTAGTCGTCATCCATACTCACCACCAGAATAATAGCCCTTCTGCTTGCCAACCGGAATCGTGACAGATCTCGATAAAACCCACCTTTCTTGGTGTCAAAACTGAATTAATGCTGACATGATAAATGAACACGGTCTAGAACATCGACCCTTGCAAACAAGCCAGTCGATGTGGTAAATAAACTTGTTTGCCTGGGCAGTGAACTGGCTGAAGATGAGATTACTTCTCGAATCAGGAGTGTCACGGAAACTTTGTCAACGCCTGACACATAAGGAACTAACGCGACTTTAGTTTGTCTGTCAATGGGAGTTTACACTGCGTTAGTGTGACCCGCACTGCCTTGTGGGTCAAAGGCTTAGCCTCTACGCGCAGAGAACGTAAGAAGGATATCAGTGCTTGACCACCGGTGTTTCCGAAGCCGCAGAGGGGCTCATCATCACCATCATCATCATCAAGGACAGCAACATCAGTGTGGCCACTGATGCTTCACTGCCGTACAACCATAAGGTTTGTCTATATATATATATATATATATATATATAATTGTATTAAAAGCCCTACAGTGATGAGAAGAGAATAAGAGTGGGTGAGGGAGGGGACCTAGTGCTGGCCTATGTCAAGCATACTGAGGTGCCAACACCTCCTACTGCTCAGTCAGACAATCTGGAAAGAAACTGACAGCACGAACGCCACTGACATCGATTAGCCGCCATTTCTTGCAACGTCTCCAGCCAAGCACA